AATGAACCTTCTTTCACTTGCATCAGAGTTTCTAGTGGAGACAATGGGACACCAGCCTCATCTATCTCTTTTCTGAACTTAGAGAACACAGCCTTTTGAGCCTTTGTAAGAAATCTACCAGGATAAGGTATAGGAGGTTGGTACTCAAGCTCATCCTCAATGTGTGATGCTTCATCTTTGAGTAAAGGCTCTTGCTTCTTCTTCTTGGGTTCAGCTTGTTTTTGGAGAAGTGATTCTCTTGAAAGCTCATTGAGGGCATAGTATACTCCAACAAGCTTGTCATGCTCAACCAATTCAGCTCCTTGTTTTACCTCCACGTCGGCTTCAACAACCTCAGCTTCGATAGCCTTATCTTCTTCACCAGCATTTGCATCACTATCTGAACTCAAGTGAAAAACATTTCCCCCACACTTAGACTCAATGTCCACATTGATGATAGAGGGTGTCACCTTTGGAGTTATAGGGACAGACTCATGTCTATATAGAGGGCTTTCAATCTCAGCAATATAGTTTTCTTTCTCATCAATAGCAGTTAGGGAAGTGGAGGAGATACCATAACAATACTGTAAGGGTCTCTTGAAGGTGAGTGGCCGAGCATTGTTCTCTTGTTTACTCAGCTGCATAGTCAAGGAGTCTATTTGGGATTGGAAGTTGTTGTTGCTGGATTTAATGCTTCTTTGGAGTTCAGCAGCCATACTTCTTAGACTTTCAGCCATACTTCTTTGAAATTCAGCAGTTTGGACTTGTTGCATTTGAAGTAGAAGTTGCTTGATGTCCAAATCTTGTGAAGGTTGAGGGCTTAATTGTTGTTGAGGCGCCAAGGCAGGCTGGATAGGAGTAGTAGGGAGTATCATGTTCCCTTTATGTTGGTTATAGGCGCCAAATGGTTGAGAAGAAGCGCTTTGATGGTGTTGGATGTAAGGGCCTCCATTTAACAACATATCCACCTTTGTTTGCATAGCTTGTATCTCTTGCCTTGTTGTTTCCAACTTCTCTTCAGCTGTTTTTGCATTCTGCTCAAACTCATCAACATATTCCCAATTACTTAGTGCCATGTTCTCCACTAATATCCAATTATCATCAACATCTTTCCCAAGAAAATAACCATTACTAGCTGTATCTAGAAAGATTCTTAACTTTGGGAGAACACCTCTATAGAGTGTGGATAGTAGCATTTCTTTGGTGAAGCCATGGAGAGGGCATTGATGAGTGAAGCCTCTAAACCTTTCCCAAGTGTCTCCAAAGCTCTCATTAGACCACTGTTTGAAGTTTGTGATCTCATTCCTGAATTTTGCAGTTCTTGAAGGAGATAAGAACTTGGTTAAGAAAGCACTTTTGCATTGTTCCCAAGTGTTGATGCTGCCTTGTGCTAAAGACTTTTCCCACATTTGAGCTCTACCACCAAGAGAGAATGGAAATAATCTGAGCTTCAAACCATCATCTGAAACTCCACTAAGCTTTGTCAAAGCACATATCCTCTAAAAGTGATCCAAGTGCTCAAGAGGATCTCAGTTGGGCAATCCAAAGAACTTCTTTTCTCAAATCAAAGCAATCATGCTGCTCCTTATCTCATAGTGGTTAGTCTCCATAGGTGGAAGAATATCTTGCCTTGAAGCATAGATTGATGGTATAAAAGAAATTTCTCATCAATATGGTACTAGGCAATAAGCACATTTAAGCAAGAAATGATAGATGCAAAGACTCATGATTATCTAAACACCATTTTCAAGCATTGAACTTCATTCAGGAATTTCATCAAACACTTGGTGTGCACGTGAAAACCTAAAATCAACTTCTCCAACAAAGAGGTACTAAGCATTAAGCACAATCATATAAGAAAGATAATGAGAAGATCTAAGCCCTAATCAACCTAAAAAATCACTAAAATCACCCCATCTGCCCTAAGCTCAAACCTAAAGCAAACTACTCATTAATCATGGTGAAAACCATCTAATCTATGAAGAAAAGATAGTTAATCATGATTAGGGAGACAAAATATTAAGGGAAATGCAAACTATTATTGAAATAAGCAAAGATTAAAATACAAAATTATTCAAAAATCTAGGGAAGAAAAGAAGAACTGCTAGATAAAGAGTTGTTCCCAGAAATTAGGGATTTTAAGTATTGCTAGGAGTCTCAGCGAAAATAGCAAAATTGTAAATAAGTAGTCTTCAGTTTGGAATCCTATCGGTCACTCCTTGACCTATAGGGGGACCGATAGGGTGATCGATAGGGTGATCGATATGGGTGATCGATAGGGGTTGAGCGGTTTCACGAAACCTTCTGTAACTTTCTAACCGCTGATGGGAATGACCTGATACCAACTCCAGACGCAAGCTAACTCATGGGAAAACAACATTTATGAAGACGGTTGAAGATGAATCGGGTTGGAGATGCTTTGTCCGAGCCGGTTTTGTCAGGTGAAGTTTCTGGCCGCTTCAAGAAGGTGCACCTTCTTCTTGGCTCTTTTGATGTCTTGTGCTGCACCCACCATCATCTCCCATGCTCCTTGTAGTCTCAAAACTCTCCAAACATACCTGCCAAACTCCTCAAATGCACAAAACATGCAATGCTCACCCTAAATCTACACTAAGTCCTAATTGAATGCAAATGGGACAAAAACAAGCAAAAATGAATGTTTAAAGACTATAAAACAATACAGAATGTATGCTAATATGGTGTAAATAATGAGTATATCACTGGTACTAATATTATGCATACACCTGAACAGACAGCAAAGAAGTAACAGAAAGTTAGCGAACAGAAAGTAAAAGGTTAGTCAAAATTCTAAAACTAAAAATCTGAAGGTAATAACTAAGTCTCCGGCAACGGCGCCAAAATTTGATATGCTCAAATTATCCCTAGAGCTACTCTCTCAAATTAAGAGATCAATGTAGTACTTAGGGGTCGAATCCACAAGGGCTTAAGAATATTGCACAACAAAATGTAGGTTTAAATGTAGTTAAGCAAATCAATAATAAATGTAAAACGAAATGGCAAGTAAAAATAACAAAAGCAGGAGCGGATTGCAAGTTCTTAAAATCAATGAGACAAGGCGCTAGGCAATGGGAAATTCGCAGGTTGACATAAATCACAGACTACAGACTGAAAGGATTATTTGTTAAAACCGTTCTAGAACTCGAAAACACGAATTTAAAACCAATCGACTTCCGCGCAGAGATTATCAATGATCAGATTTTATAATTCCAAATTCCTTTGCAAATTCTAACAACCTAAGCAAGCATTATAGTTCAAGTTCGATATGTTCACAAAATCATTAATCCAAATTCCTTTGCAATTAGTTATTTCGCTCATCTAAGATAGTTTTGGTGATAAATAATGTTTTCACATCTATTAAATAACTTAAGATCTGATTTCTAGGTGATCAATCTTAAAATCAGTGTTAAAGCAATCTAGATGAAGAACCAAAGGATTTATCCTTCCAGTATTGCAGTTCTAACAATTCATTATCAACCTTTGAATTACCCAAAACCTAACTAGTAGATTACTCAGACATAGGAATTGAAACACAAGTCATGACTGAATAATTTTGCATTAAAAGATAAAGTAAAAGACAAAAGGGGTTCGAAATTCTTCTCTAACAGAGTACGTATTTATCTCCCCAAAAGCTCTGAATCTAATCTCTCTCTTAGTCTCAATGAAAACAAGATAATGGCCTAACAATGGCTCTCAAACCCTAAATATATCTCTAAACACGACTGGGGCAAGTTTACAAATAATCGGAAACTTCTGGGCCAAGTTGCAATTCTTCAAAAGTGCTGAAACACGCGCTTTCTTTGTATCCACGATTGGTGTCGATCGACGCCAAGGAGTGGTGTCGATCGACACTCTGCTCCAATATGCTCTCCAACTTGGTCTTTTCAGCATCAGCTTCAACAGAGCTCCAAAAGGCTCCAAAATCTCCAATTATGCTCTAAACATACTTGAACCTACAAAGACTCTAAAAGACTTGAAAAATACTAAAAAGACTATAAAATGACTTATATCATGGTCAAAAACCGGTCAAAACCATGACATATCACTGAGGCCCTTGAATTGAACCAAAATAACCACGAAATCCCCTAATATGATCGAGATTGAATGGCATAGAGCCCTAGATCCCCTTTTCCATCGCCATGTTTTTGAAAGAAAAACTTTGAACTTTTTAACTATATTCTCTTTGTTAGGGTTTTTGGTTAGTTCCTTTATTTTAGATTTTTCATGGCTATAACTTTAATTTTAAAGCCCAATATAGTTAGTGAGCTAATTAACTCTATAGCAAAATACTAAATATATGATTTTATCTAGTTTATGTTTGTTCATATATTCACCTTAAAATTAGTATTAAAATTTATAGGTATGAAAAATTAAATATGTGCGTATGCGCGGATGTTGACGTAATGATAATTGAAATGATTAGAAAACTTACATTTGTTGTTGTAAACGTGTTAATTTGGTGAAATCTAATTGTCAATCTAAAAAAACATTAAGCAAAAAAGTTTCAAATTTTTTTCCTAGCCCCGGTTATCGAGAAAAGTCTTTTCCAATTGGGTATCTAGCTGAAGCCTGTCCTAACCATTTTTCTTTATCTGAAATAAAAATTTTTCAAATCTAAAATTTCCTTGGGTGCCCCACCTCCAGGTCGGAGGGTCCGCAGCTTCATCTTGAAGCTACCATGGAGAGCACCAGCTGCCATCCCTGAAGACTGGCCGCCTGCCACCATCGAACCAGGCTTGTCCGCTAAGCTATTAGAATATCCGACAGGCAGCCGAGAGAGTGAATCTTAACTCTCAACCTAGTCAGATCCCTAATAAGTTGACAAAAGTAGTTCTTTCGCTGGCTTTAGCTGCTTGAAAAATCTCACACCATTGTGGTGTTGTAACTTTGTTTCCCCCTGAAGTAAGATCTGAAGCTCTACTCAACGAAAGCAAAATGGCAAGAAAGTTATCATATGCTCAGAAAGGAAAATGAGTAGCCCAACAAAGTGAACCTCCTCGAACATGCAGAGTAAGAGTACCTGATTTCAGGTACCTTTGTCATCTCCATTACAGCAGCAGCACAAGAAAGCTTTGGGTCAGGAAGGCGAGCCCTCCAAGCTGCTACCTGCCTTCCTCCTCTAGGTCTTGGGCCGATAATTTCTGCTCCCTGAATCAATCTGGAACCTATGGATAGCGAGGAATTATCGAATATTTCAAGATAGAGGATTTTCAGAGCAAGAAACGGTAACAAAAGCAATCGGCAATGTGCAAGAATGGTTGGGCGCCCAAATCAATTTAATCTCTACCCAACGAAAAGGCCAGATCTCGAGGATACCTAGTAGAAAAGAAATCGTTTGCCGCTCGGATGCAGCCTGGAAATCAAAGCTTTTGGTAGGCATGTCAAACGGGCTGACCCGGTCTAGCCTGGCCCGAAACCCGTAAAGCCCGCATATATTTAAGTCTGGCCCGGTTCTAACAGGGTTATTGGGCTTTTCTGGGCTTTTCGGGCATTTTAGAAAAATAAAATAAGTTTTAACAATAAAATAAACTAAAAGAAAAAGTAGTTATTAGAATTAAATCCCAATTTAAATAATCATAAATATAGTTTTATCAAATCTGAAAGCAAAACTTTAACTTATGAATTTATATAAATTCTAATATCAAATATAATTAAATAAATAAGTAATATAAATAGTAAAAACGGTAGAATCGAGATGAGAATCTTCAGGTTGAAGGTAGGAGTGCTTCCTGAAACTAGTTTAGTTTGAGCATTGATGTTTATATGAAGGCACACAACTAAAAATTAAAGTTTTATATTAACAAAAAGTATTAATAAAAAAAATTAATAACTCTAATTTTTTAAACTGTAAAGATAATTTATTAGTAAAATTTTCTAAATAAATTATAATATAAAGTACAAGGCTTTTCGGATAAGCCCAAGACCGATAGGGCTTAAGCCCAAATGGGCTTAGCCCGAATGGGTTTAGCTCATAAAGCCCGATTTTTTTTGCTTTTATACCAAAACCCAAACCCGATAGTTTTCAGGGAGACTGGACTTCGGGTTTTGGCCCAAATTGACATCCCTAGCTTTTGGCAGCAGGAGCTGCATGAAACTTTTCATGAAATCGAGATGGATTGAACAAATTCCAATCCCAAACATTTGTGCATGCGAAATCGCCCCTTGTAGCAGAGTGGCTAGCTATGCGAGCAGCCATGGGGCTGAATTTCAAGCATATTTCATTCAAATCGGACTCTAAAAATTTAGTGATAGCAATCACAGAAAAATCAAACTATTCGGATATACATGGAATAATCTCAAATATCATTTCTATCTCTTTTTTCTTTCGAGAATGTATCGTTACATTATTATGTTAATCGTGATTAGCTAACCATAGTAGATGGTTTAGCAAAGCAAACATTAAACATGTATATACCAAACCGGTTTAAGTTTAATGGTTTAAGATGGTGCACAAAGAAAAAAAAAAGCGTGTTAATTTGGTGTAAATATAGAAACCAGTCTTGACCCCAAAGCTCTCTTGCTTGGTCTCTTCTTTTTTTTTTTCTTTCTCTTTCTCTTTCTCTCTCTTTTTTTTCTCTAGAATGAGATTTTATTATACCCAAAAAAAGGGAACCGAAAGCTCAATATAGAGCAAAGACCAACAGACCCACCAAATAGGTTGAAATAAAACCAAAAGCCCAAAAGCCCAGAGCTAAGTCTAACAATCGATTATCGAAAAGCTGAGACACGATCATCATGTGAGCATGAGATCTTTCTCCGTTTCAAACAGCTTATTCAGCCACCTGGGTCCTCCTGAGGCAACGTAAGATGAAAGCCTGAGATCAGATACCACGGTTCTCGCAGTTTCTGCTGCCCCTCTGTTACACTTTGGATCCTCAAACAGAATATCCCATCCTCTTTGATTTTCCGTTAGTTTTAGAACAGCTGTTATATTCTCTATCAAAGCCGGCCATTCTCTCGGTTTATGCAAAGCTTGTATGATCTCTAGCGATGATGCAGCAAAGGTAATGTTCTCATAGTGTAAGCTACTCATACTTTCCAAAGCCCATTCCCAGCTTTTTATTTTTGCTTCCAAACATGTTGGTACATGTGTAAAATAGCGCCGGCTGTGACTTAAAACCCTCCCTCTTTCATCTCGCACCACCCATGATGCTCCGGAGAGTGCCCTAGGTTCCGACCAGGAGAAACCAATGTTACACTCCAGCCTTCCTTTATCTGGTGGTCTCCAGAGTTTCCTCGTTTCAGGAATTTTCACCTCTGCCTCTTGGACTTTTTTCTGAGCGTTAATCCACAGTAATGTATCACCAACAGCCTTCGCTACTACCTCTGTTGTTTGGAACGCTTTTGACTCAAACAACAGCTTGTTGCGATTTTTCCAGAGGGTCCACATTATCCACGGTGGCACCAGTCTAATTTCATCGGGGAGCTCGCTCTTCTTTGTTATGTTTAAGATATGAAACATATTCCCATAGATCGAATCTCCAAAACCCCCTTCTGGAACAGGAACATTCGCCAGTGCCCACACTTGTCTTGCCACTGGACACTCAAAAAGGATATGGTTGACTGATTCGTGTTCTTCAGAGCACATAAGACAACCTGTATCACAACGTATACCTCTGGTTTTTAAACGCTCTGTTACAGGAAGGGATCCATTTAGAGCTTTCCAGAGGAACAGTTTGATTTTTTGTACTGTCTTAGTTTCCCAAACACTGGCCGATACGATATTACGTGAAGGTAATATTTCTGCTTATCGGTTGAGCTCCGAGTGCTTGAGGCGACTGCTTAGTTCATAACCTGAGCTCACTGTATACATACTGTTCTTTGTTTTCGCCCAAGTATAACCATCTTCTCTTCCTAACATTGGCCTATGCTTTTTAATCAGAGCTATATCTTCCCTTGTAAACAAATCATGGAGAACTTGCATATCCCAGTTTCCGGTGCCATGATCGATCAAGTCTGACACTTTTAAATTGATGTTCATCAGCGTCTGTCGGCCCCCAGGACGACATTGTCTTCCATCATATAACCAGTTGTCAACCCAAACCAAAGTCTTCTCTCCATTACCAATACTTCTCTGTAAACCCTTTGCCAACAACTCTCTTCCAAAGAGCATGCTTCTCCAACCATATGATGGCCTAGTCCCATTAGGAGCTTGTAAGAAATCACCGTTAAGAAAGTATCTGCTCTGGTAGAAACGGCTCAAAAGACACGAAGGTTCATTAAGCAATTTCCAAGCCTGTTTTGCTAGCAGCGCTTGATTGAAACATATGAGATCACGAAAACCTATACCCCTTATCTGTTTGGGTAAAGTCAACTTCTCCCATCCAACCCAGTGTATTTTCTTAGTGCTTTCCCCTGTGTTCCATCAGAAATCCATCATAGCGCTTGTCAGATTTTTGCAGATTTGCACTGGTAATTTAAAGCATGTCATTGCAAACACTGGCATTGACATCGCCACTGATTTGAGTAAAACCTCCTTGCCCCCTTGTGAGAGACTTTTAGCATACCACCCCGTAAGCCTTTTCTGAACATTTTCTTTTATATATCCCAGCAACTGTCGTTTGGATCCACTTAAACACTCTGGTAGCCCCAAATACTTGCTTGTGCCTCCCTCTAGATGAATTCCGGTTCTATGTTTAATCCACGTTTTGATATCCTCAACCACCCTCACTCCAAACGTTATCGCTGACTTTGCGACATTTATCTTTTGACCTGAGATCCTTTCATACCTGTCAAGACATAGAAGCATTTCTTCACATTCATCCTTAGATGCCTTGCATAGGAAGAGGGTATCATCTGCAAATAATAGATGGTTGATTGTTGGACCCAAAGGACAGAAGCTAATCCCTGTGATCTTCCTCTGTTGTTTTGCTTTGTTTAGTAGATGCGTTAAAGCTTATGTGCAGAGCACAAACAAGAATAGACTTAGAGGGTCCCCTTTACGCAAACCTCTTGCTGGTGTTATCTTTCCAAAAGGTTGTCCATTAATCAACATAGAATATGTTACCGTCTGGACACAACTCATCACCCACTTAACCCATGTTGTGTTGAATCCGAGAGCACTAAGTATATCCCGAAGAAAAGTCCATTCTACCCGATCATAGGCCTTCGACATATCTGTCTTCACAGCTATGAAACCTTCTGATGTCTTCGGATGGGTGTTCAGACTATGGACAACTTCATGAGCTATGAGGATGTTGTCTGATATTAATCATTCTTATACGAAGGCACTCTTCGTAGGAGACACAATCTCCGGGAGGTGAGTTTTTAGACGATTTACCATTACTTTGGATACAATCTTGTACAAAACTGTACACAGACTTATCGGACTCAGGTCAGTCATTCATCGTGGGGGTGTAACCTTTGGAATCAAAGTAATATGAGTATGATTCCATTCATCCTGAAGAACCCTTGTATCGAAAAAGGCCTTAATGTCTCTGAAAATCTGCTCTTTGATGATTTCCCAGTATTTCTTAAAGAAAAAGCCAGTTAAACCATCATGACCTGGGGCCTTTTTGCTGTTGATCGAGAAGACTGCCTCACGCAATTCCTCCATAGTAACCTCTCGTACCAGATCCTCATTCATTGCATTTGTGACGCGAGGGACGAAGTCATCAAGCACCTCCGACACCGTCGATGACTGTGATGTGCTAAACAACTCGTTGAAATACCTGATAGCCACTTCGCTTTTTCCTTGGTTTGAGAATTGTTCATTCCCTTGTTCATCAAGTAAGAACTGGAGCGAATTCTTCATTCTGGTGGATTTAACTGATGCTTGGTAGAATTTTGTATTTTTATCTCTTGCCACCAGCCATTTGTCCCTACTTTTCTGTCTCAAAAACTGTTCTTCGGCTCTGAATCCTTCCTCTATTTCTTGCTTCAGAATCGCAATCTTTGCAATGCAAGGGACTCTCAACTCTTCTTCATACTCAAGTTCCTCTCGTGCATATTTAATTCTTTCTGTGGAGTTGGAGCCTTTCTTTCGTTTCCAGTGGCTAAAAGCACGCCTGCAGTTAGCGATTCGAGCCATTGTAGACTTTATCCCTCCTATTGAGCTCCCATTCCATGCCTCTTTGACCGTCTCCTTAAACAATGGATCCTCGGCCCATCGTTTATCAAAATGGAGCTGGCTTCTGAATGTTTCTCGATCTCCCATGAATTTGACCAATACGGGTCTATGATCAGATCCCAATCTTTCAAGGAACCATTGGTGTGCACTTGGGAATAAGTCATACCACTCTGGATTCTCGAAACACCGATCTAGGCGTGAGAAAATGGTTTGCTTATATCTTGTGCCCCGCCACATAAACTTGTTTCCAGTGCTTCCTAGTTCTTTCATGTCGCAATCGTCTAAAATCGTTCGGAAAGGTCTGAATGTGTAAGCCTGTCGTGTTGCTCCATCTTTCTTTTCTGCATTTGAGAGAATTTCATTGAAATCCCCTATCATACACCAAGGATCCTTCCTTACTAAGCCTATCCTTGTTAACTTTTCCCATAATATGGGGCGTAGCTTTGTAATCGGATGCCCGTAGATACAAGATACAAACCATGTTTTCGAACCATTAGATACCTTCATGTCCAATAAGTTCTTATCTTCATGAAGGAATATAACGTCTAAATGTGCTTTCCAAAAAATCGCCAAACCTCCACTTCTTCTGATTGGTTCCACAGTACAGAACCATTTATATCCAAGCTCTTCGTAAATATCTGACACAAACTGAAATTTATTCTTCGTCTCCATTAGGAATAGTATATCAGGGAAATGCACACGGCACATTTCCTTGATTCTTTGAATTGTCACAGGATTCCCAACCCCCTGACAATTCCAACTCAGGATACCTATTGGATAGACGGTGGATCTTCCGGATCCACCCTTGAATGATCTCTCTTCACACATTTGGCTGAGATCTCTCCAACTTCTTCCGCCTTTCGTTTGATCAGGCTCTCACAAACTGTATTCTCGCTTGTGCCCCTCTCATTTACTCCCGCATTTTGTTGAGCTTTCTGTTCCTTCCTTATAGTCGATGATGGTCTTCTTCTGAATTTCTTTTTAACAGAACTTGTTTCGGATGAACCAGCACCAGAGGTGCCCATTCTAAACCCCGTAGAACAATCTGCAAAAGACGATTCAGATGCTTCTCGACGACTCTGCATTCCTTGCCCTGAGTTTCTTAACCGATCTCCCCCTACACTTATAGCCTATGCCATCAGCTTGTTCTTGTTTTGTCCTGATTCAGCTTCTTGTTCCGAAAAGTCAAAAACCAATCTTTTTCCTATGTTGTAATATGCAGACACTATCGGTCTTGGTTCTAACCTGAGCAAAGTTTTTTGTCCCATCACGTCCTTTTCGAGATCTGCCATGGATTTCCGTACCCTCGTCTCTCTGGCTTTTCTTTCTGTCGGATCCTGGACCATCAGATATTGGCGAGTGACATCTAGCACCTCCTTTGCTATTTTTGGTATGCCCGTCTTAATGTTAATACCAACTTTTTCCTCTGTTAAGACTCCATATAGTGGATCATCAGGCCCTATCACCGGTTTCACATTTATGCCCATGTCCGCACTATTATTTGTAGCACTTCTCCTAACATGTTGTTTTGCTTGCTCAATGAGGGGGCACCAGATCTTATCATGAGTAAGTCTTTGACATTGAAAGCACCTCTTTTTTACTCTCTCATACTCGATCCCGATTTGCACAATCTTCCCGTTTGGAGTCTGCAAGGCTCTAGATCTCCTTAAGGGATTAGCGACATCATGTAGGATTCTGACTCAGACGTACTCCTCTGTTCTTGGTTTATCTGGATCAAAAACCAGCTCGATGACCTGACCCATCTCTTATGCAATCTCCATTATGGTATCCTTAGTGTAATAGTTCATCGGTATATTTGATAACCGAATCCACACCAGTAAGATCTTCAGATAATCGTCGGGAGGATCCTCCACCCATCTTTCTATCACCACACACCAATCGTCATGTGTATATGTTCCCACCTTAAGCACTTTCAACAGATCTTCCTCATAGTTGAAAAAGAATTGGAATTGATCTCTGGATAGAGCAATGCCCCGTACTCTTCCTCCCACATTGAAAGCTCTTGGTAGCTCCCATATTAATCTTTTCATGTTCTGGCTTTCTGGGTTAAGCATCCTTCCAACGATGCTCAATGCATTCCTTTCTGTAGATCTGTACTTTTGATGGCTAGAAAGCACCAACGGCTTCTCTTCCTCGATTGACATCGCTCTCAAAGCCTTCTGTAGTTCAAAATCCATTGGGAAGAAGTGATACCTATGGATTTAGATGAGCTCTGAGCTTGTGACGGCGATCCCCACTGTCTGCGGCGACTACTTCTCTTCTCAAACTTTGGTATCCTTGGAGAACCCTAGACCAAACTTACCTTAAATGACAAGGCAAGTTTAGAAACTTTCCTTTAACCGGCAGAAAACGAATATATCTCCGGTGAAAATTGCCTAAACTGAAAGACATCGAACCCTCTAAACGGAATGAAGAGTCCTAAGTGAAAACATGGTCTCTTCTTTGACTTGATTTAGTTTGGCTTGATAACAAATAGGAAATACTAAGCAAAAGTTCAAAAAAAAAACAAATAGAAAACTTCTTGGTTTGATGATATAATCGGCCACTCTTGATTATATGACTTTAATTTCATATCTAGACAGCCAATATGAACTTGAGTGACTTTAATTTCCTCTCGTATTTTCTTGTTGATGTGTCAATAAGGATGCAAAGTTTTAATTCGAAAGGATGTGTCAACATGAAAATCATATTTATGAATAGGGAATAACCATTTCCAACAGTTTGACACATCAGCATTTTAGATTAATTTAGAAGTGACAAGTGGCTAACTAAAATTAAAACAACCCAATAAATAATAATCATTAAATAAATTACATCAGTTAGATACAAAACTGCATTTTGAGAATATGAAACATCTTTTTATTTATGATTTTAAATGATAAAACTGAATTAAATTTGAAATAAAAATAATTCAAGATATAAAGAAACCAGAGAAAACTACTTCTTTTTATTGTGTAAAACAAAAAAAAAGATTTCTCAAAGCAAATTGTAGCGAAAACAAAAAAAAAATTGAAAATGGTGGTGGAACTCTGATGATTAATGAACTAATTACATAACAAAGAGATATTTACTTGAAAATAGAATATAATTGTAATTTGATGATAAAAAGAACATAAAGAAAAATTAAGAAAAAAAAAAAAATAGATGTGTGTAATAGTTCTATATGATGGTATTTTAAAAATTAAAAAGAAAAGTAATAATTATTAAAACAAAATTATAATTATATTTGATAGGTCTCTCCAAAAAATAGTATATAATGTTATAAATTAATTGATAACATAAATTAAAATATACAACTATATATATATATATGATAGAAAAGAACACAATTATTATATTTACGAAGTAATGTTGTTCGTGAGAAAATTACGGATTTTTTACGGGAATGTGTGTGTTCATCCGAGTAGTACAGCAGAGCCTATTAGATTAGGCTTCGAGGGTCGAGCAGTATACACTCTCTGGACGAGAAAATTTTTGGATCCTGCAAATATTCGCAGCGGGTGAATCGGGCATTTGGAAGATCGGAAATGGGTTTTCCTCTCGAAAGTTCTCTGATGCTCAATTTAGATTACGTCCCGCAGTGAACAGATATTCAGGAGGGCAGATGGATGGTGATGGCTTTATAGTTTGGATACCCCGTCCAAGGATCGTGATACTCTTCTGTCATTTGATAAAGGAGAATGTGAAATGTATGAACCATTGACAGAGTGGGGGGGGGGGGGGGGGGTGGGGAGGGGGGAGTGAATGTTTATCTCAGTTAGCGCTCCTTTGGGGGAATGTTAGAGGTTCTTCAGCCTCTTGCCTTCGGGGAATGCTTGGGGGATCTTCGGGGGATCTTTGGCCTTTCTGCTCCTCTTTGACCTCTTCTTTTTTCCTTATACACCTTTCCCTCTGGTATGTCCCATCCGAGAGAGACGCTCGGAGAGAGTACATATGCTACCACAGAACACTCATTGGGAAGTCCGCCATATACCGAGGAACATTTAGGTAGGGAGTCGTTAGATAAGCCTAGACACCAAATTCATCATTCCGGCCAAGCCTAACGTAACGTCACCTATAGGGTACGGTAAAAATGAACCTAACAAATATATTATATTTACAAAAATTTATAAGTATGAAATTCACATAGACATATTTTATTTTAAAAAAAACCTGCACATACGTGCAGGTATTAGTCTAGTTAATATTTGAATGCGCATCTATCAAAAATGACATTTAAAAAAAAACAAGAATGAGATAAAAAAAATCAAGAGAAATAATCGTAAGATGAATCAATATTTAATCGAAAATAAAGAAAACTAGGTGATCGGCTTGCATCTTGTGCACGCTATAAAACATTTAATATGTTCAATTATGACTAATATAGTATTGAAGATATTTTATTTATATATAATTAATTATATATTATTAATAATATTATAAACATTTAATAATAGAAAATAACAATAAATCAAATATAAAATGTTATAGATTTTAATATGAAATAAAGATAAAAAATATTAACTAAGATTTTAAAATACTTACTTAGATAAAAAAAAATTTAAATATGATAACTAAGTAAACGTAAGAATATTAAAATATATAATAATTTATTTAATTTTTATTTTCTGTCCGCACCCATGTGCATGTATAATTTTTTAATAGACATAATTAGTTTTAATATTTAAGTATTGATTAATTTTCCTATATATCATGTAAACGTTATGTTTTTATAAATATACAGTTTTAGTGTTCAACAAGAATCACATTCTGGCGTACCAACCATCTCACCGCTCTTAGGACATATAAAGATTTAAAAAATATATATAAATTGTATAATAACTAAAATTAAAATTAAAATGTAATCGAGATTAACAAAATGTATGCATGACAAGTTGCATACGAGTTTGGCTTTTGAACAGTTAATATTTATATTTACATGCATACCTGTAAGAAAATCGAAGTATGGCTTTCATGTGTTAAAAAAAAAACAAAATATACGTTTTGTAATATATATATATATTTATAATGTATGGTTGATTTTTTTTTAAAATTAATAATTAGTATATTTATGCATGTAGGTATGAGTTAGAAATAAGTAAATTGTAATATTTAGGTGTTGGTATGTTTTTCTGATATTTTCTGGAAACGTTATGTTCTTGCACAATGCAGTTACTGGTGTTTAACAACAATCTTGAAAACTGTTTCTATCATTTTGTGTTTAATCAATTTTTTTTATTTTTCAGTATTTTATGATATATGGTTTCTTAATAAATATATAATAAACAAAAATTATAAAATTTGTGAAATCATATTTTATAAAATTCTCCAGTAGCTCTCTGCTCATCTCTTCGTCAAATTTTTTATAATCCACAATTGCTCGCTTCCACAAACTCTCTGCAACCGAATCATTTAATCCATTCAGATGTAAACTTATATGTGTATGATTTAAGATGTAAAATAATATTTTTGATATTTGATTGTTATATTAAAAATTAAGAGTTCATCTGTTCCTAACTTTAATATATAATATAATGAATCACAACATATACAAAACATGAATCATAAAATAATATTTTAATATGTTAATAAAATATATGCATGAAAGAATTAATATGTGTAAGATAATTTTTCAAAATATTTCAAATAAAAACATAAAATCGATCAAAATTATTCTTATTTATTTTTTGGTCTTCTTTGACTCATACTTTTTTCTTAACTTTTAATAATAAATTAAACATTAAGATTATTTCCAATATATTTTTTATTTTTTCTTCTAAAATATAAATGGACTTCTCTCCAACCTATTTCTATTTTACAGAAAAAGAAAGATTATTTTTTTCTCTATAATTAGAGAAAAAAGTAACATTTTTTTCCTTTAAATTAGAAGATTTAAAATAAATATGGGTTGGAGATGCTTTAAACCAAAAATATAGTCTGAATTTTTTACATAAAAACAAAGTAGTAAAGATTCATTTTTACTTTTATTTCTACTTTTTATTCACATATACATTATTAATTTTTCTGACTGTTTATTTTTTGTTTTATTTATAATTTTGAATTATTGATATATAATGAGAATTCA